TCTATAATTGAAACACTGTTGCAGCTCCAGCTTTGAGGCCTGGCTGGCCGTAAACAGGTTTCTGGGGTTTGTTCATCTTCTATAATTGCAACATTGTTTCTTGGAGTGCAGCTCAGAGGCTGGCAGTGGCAGGCGGGGAACCTTGGCTTCCTCTTTCACTGGAGCAAGCAAGCCTCCTGTTTGCTTCAGCGGCCTGGCTGCCGGCCGCCATCTTGGCTGGCAGTTAATTTGCATATTGCCTGATTAGCCAATGGGAAGGGTAGCGGTCGTACGCCACTTACCATGTTTCTCTTTTATTAGCTAGGATATCCTTGTTTTTCTCCATATACATGTTAATCTGGAAATAAGGGGGCATACAATCCAAAGACATCTAACTAATAAGAACACTAAATATATAGTGTTCTTACATTTATGTACAGGTAAAACTGATATAAACCAAAAAGAGAGCAGTAACTGCCTAGGTTTGAATTCTAGTTCTACCATTTATTAGCTGTACTACTCTGAATAATTTATTATCTCTATGCTCATTTCATCATGGATATTATAATATCCATTTCTAAAATGGATATTATAATTTAAAAAACACCTCCATATTCTTTTTTGAGGAGATTTTAAGTGAATTCATGTATATAAAGTATCTAGAATACTATCCGGTACATAGAAAGTCATATTAACTACTATTATGACAGAGAAACATTAAATGATATTTATAACATTCAAGCTGCCTATATAACAAGTTACTAAAGAAAATATCACTAAGCAAAATAGAATTCATCTATTTAAATATTCCACTAGTGTAGCATTCTATTTTACAAAGAGAAATGTCTACTTTCACCCAACATCTCCATCTTGTGGACATTACAGGTAATTGCTGCTGATAACCATTAAAGCATAGTTATGCTTTAAGTAAAGCGTAAAATGATCTCTAATTGGAAGAAGCAAGGTTTGGTGAAGGAAAAAAAACCAAAAACAAAAAACCCTTTGAGCACTGATGGCGAGGCTCAGTGGCTGAGCATCGACCTATGAACCAGGGCACACACCCAGGTTGTGGGCTCTATCCCCAGTGTGGGATGTGCAGGAGGAGGCAGCCTATCAATGATTCTCTCATCACTGATGTTTCTATCTCTTTCTCCCTCTCCCTTCCTCTCTGAAATCAATAAAAAACACTCATACACAAAAACCTTTGAAATCTGAAAGACTTGAGTTCAAATATACCCCTGGCCCCTTATTAGCTGAATGCTGACATCTCTAGGTCTCCCTCAGTCTCATCTTTCTGTATGATACAGTTAAAATTCTGTATTTCTCAGAGGATTTATAAGGATTAATCAAATATAGCTGGCCCTTTGTATCCATGGGTTCTGCATCTGTAGACCTAAAATACTGGGCTGGGGGTGGGGGTTGGGGGAGAATGTTACCTTGTTATTAATGTGTACTATGCAGTTAGGCCTAGATGATCACATCTGTACTGAACATGCACATACTATTTTTTTCTTGTTATTCCCTGAACAATACAGTTCAACAACTATTTACATAGCATTTACATTGTATTAGGTAGGATAAGTAATCTAGAGATGACTCAAAGTATATAGGAGAATATGCATAAATTATATGCAAATACACCATCCTACCCTATATAATAAAAGGCTAATATGCAAATTATCCCCTTGGCCAGGAGTTGGACCAGGAGTTGAACCAGGGGGCGGGGCCAGCCAACCAACTGCCTGCAGCCCCTCTCCTCGGCCAGCCCCAACCCCGATCAGCCCCCCACCCTGATTGGGGTGGGCCAGCCAGACCCTACCAGTGCACAAATTCGTGCACCAGGCCTCTAGTTTTATATAAGAGACTTGTGCATCTGCAGATTATCATATCCTCCGGGTGTCCTGGAACCAATCCCCAACGGATACCAAGGGAAGAAGACTGTATGTATATGTGAGACATTTAGCACATTCAAAACATGCAATGTTTTATTTTGCTCATTGCTAGTGACTTTCTTTTTGTGATACATTTTGTAATACAGATATTTATATTGCCAAAACAATCCATATTTTTCTCTGTACTTTCTTTCACTGCTTTTATTTCTAAATTGTTTTCACCTCCATTTTTTAAAAAAAGTTTTGGCCCTAGTTGGTTTGGCTCACTGGAGAGAGCATTGGCCTGCAGACTGAACGGTTCCGGGGGGTTCAATTCCGGTCAAAGGCACATGCCTGGGTTGCGTGCAGGAGGCAGCCAATCAATGATTCTCTCTCATCATTGATGTTTCTCTCCCTTCCTCTCTGAAAACAATAAAAACATATTTTTTAAAAAAGTTTTACCTCACGGAGATGTAAAGCAGGGCATAGGCAATACTAGTATAGTCAATAATATTGTAATAATTATGTTTGGTGCCAGGTGGGTGTACTAGAAACATCGAGGGGAATACTTTATAAAGTATATGACTGTCTAACCACTATGCTGTGCACTTGAAACTAATGCAAAATAGTACTGAATGTAAACTGTAATTAAAAAATAAAATTAGCCCTGGTCAGTGTGGCTCAGTTGGTTGGAGCATCATCCTGATATGCCAAGGTTGCAGGTTTAATTCCCCAGTCAGGGCACATACAATAATCAACCAATGAATGTATAAATAAGTAGAACAACAAATTGATGTTTCTCTTTCTCTCACCCTTACTCTCTCTAAAAATAAATAAAAATTTTAAAAATTAAAAAAAAGTTTATACCTTTTGACCCCCTTCATTCATTTGGCCCACCCCTCACCTCCTGGCAACCACCAATCTGTTCTCTGTATCTTTGAACTTTTTGTTTTTTTTAAATTCCACATATAAGTGAGCTTATACGGTATTTTTCTCTCCCTGTCTGACTTATTTCACTTAGCATAATTCCTTCAAGTCCCATCCATGTTGTCACAATGGCAAGATTTCCTTATTTCTTATGGCTGAATAGTATTTCACTGTGTATATATAGATACCATATCTTCTTTATCCATTCATCCATCAATGGACACTTAAGGTAGTTTCCATATCTTGAGTACCATAAATAATGCTTCAATAAACGTGGCAGTGTGTGTGTGTATATTTGTATGTATGTATGTATATATATGTATATTTAGTATTTTCATTTTCTTTGGATAACCAGGAGTAGAATTATTGGATCATAAGGTAGTTCTATTTTTAAGATTTTGAAAACCCTCTATACTGTTTTTCCACCATGTCTGCACCAAATTACAATCCCTCCAGCAGTGCGTGAGAGTTCCCTTTCTCCACATTCTTGCCAACACCCGTTTGATGCCTTTTTTTTCTGTGTTTGTTTTCTCTTTGTTGCTGTTGATGCATTTTTTATAATAGCAATATGACAGTTGGGAGGTGATTATTTCATTGTGGTTTTGATTTGCATTTCCCCAATTAGTGATGTTGAACACCTTTACACGTACCTGTTGGCCATCTGTATCTTCTTTGGAAAAATATCTATTCAGATCTTCTGCACATTTTTAAATTAAATTGTTTGCTTTTTTTACTCTTGAGTTGTATGAGTTATATATTTTGGATATTAACCTCTTATCAGATACATGATTTGCAAATATTTTCTCCCTTCCACTAGGTTGCCTTTTTATCTTGTTGATGGTTTCCTTTGCTGTGCAGAAGCTTTTTGGTTATTGGTTACTGGCCTTATGAGATGTAGGAGCTCTTTATATATTAAAGAAATTAGTCATTTGTGATATGAACACAATAGTTTTTCATGGTTTGAAACAAAGTCTTCACATTTTGTTTACAGTGCTTTGTTTACAATGCAAAATATTTTATTCCCTTGCTCCTCTCTCCATATCAATTAAAAAACACTGTTACATGCTGGGGTACAGAGGTAGAAGATGGACAAGAAAGAAAAATGCAGTACAATGTCATAAGACAATCATAGGGAGACAGGAAAGCAGACTGGATTTATACTAAGGGGAAAGGAAAGGGTATGTGATTATGAAGGAAGGCATCTTGGAAGTAGGAAAAACTGAACAAAGTTCTACAGAATGAGAAAGGAAGTAGGTAGAGGAAGTACACATAGCAGGCCCTAGAACAGCACATGTACATTTAGGGAACAACAAGAAGTCCTGTGTTATTTTAAGTCTTAAATCTAGTCAGGAAGACCTGATTCATTTGTCAGAAAGACAGCATTCACAGTAGATACACATTCCGTTGGTCTGATTTAGTTACCCTTTATTCTTGACAAATCATAAGATCGCAAAGGGCAGGATATATCTGGAAGAAGGCCGAGGTTAATTAGCAATGAGATCATGGGGGAAAACATTTTTAAGCTTCTTTTATTTTGTTCCACTTTTCTGCTTTCTACATACTAAATGCTTATATATTTAAATTTCAAAATGAAGCCTCAAGCTGGAGTAAATTAATCCAAAGAAGAATAATTATTTGTGCAGAGCTGATCTTACTTACTGGTTTGAAGCACAGATTATAAGGCTTTTACATAGAGATCGATAGCTTATTGGTTAAGAGTACAGACTCTGGGTTTAAAATCCTGGCTCTGATCTGTAGCTCTAGGGCAGTGGTTCTCAACCTTCTGGCCCTTTAAATACAGTTCCTGATGTTGTGACCCAACCATAAAATTATTTTCGTTGCTACTTCATAACTGTAATGTTGCTACTGCTATGAATCATAATATAAATATCTGATATGCAGGATGGTCTTAGGCGACCCCTGTGAAAGGGTCGTTCGACTGCCAAAGGGTCGCGACCCACAGGCTGAGAACCGCTGCTCTAGGGTCTTTACTTATACAATAGGACTAAAAGTCGTACCCTCCTCTTATGGTTGTTATGGTATCCAATAAGTTATGAAATGTTAAGTGCTTGTCTAGTACATAGTAAGCTCTCATTGGATGTTCATTTAAGTTATTCCTTGTAAAAGCAACTATTACTTTAAAAGCTAAATCATTAGTGTTTAACTAAATTTGCATGGGTTTACTACTAGCACAAGTATCTTTATAAACTTTTAATATGCTTCATAATGAGAAATGTCTATCCTGAATATCACTCTATCTAAAAATATTACTAAGTTTTTAGAGCCTAAGTTCTGAGGAGTGCTTGGGCTGTAGTCCTGACTCTACCAATAATTAGCTGTATTTATGGGCAAGTAATTTAACTATACCTGTTTGCTTTTATAAAATGGAGTACTTAATAAAATAATTGTAGAATTAAATTTTATACATGTACAGATTTAGAACAGTACAAATAGTAAACACTCTGCCCTAGCCAGTTTGGCTCAGCAGACAGAGTGTCAGCATGAGGACTGAAGGGTCCCAGGTTCAATTCCGGTCAAGGGCACATGTCCGGGTTGCTGGTCTGATCCCAGTAGGGGGTATGCAGGAGACAGCCAATGAATTATTCTCTCTCATCATTGATGTTTCTAGCTCTGTTTCCCTCCCACTTCCTCTCTAAAAATAAAAATATATTTTTTATAAAACCATAAAAACAAAAACAAATAGTAAGCACTCAATAAGTCTGCTATCTTATTATTACCAAATATTGAGTATAATGCCCTCAAATTGGTAAGAGTGTACATATCTTTTTAAGTCTTTGATTAACATTCCTAAATTGTTTTCCTAAGAGGCTAAAGCAATTCATACCCACACAAACAATTTATGAGAATGTAAAGTTCAACACATCCTCACTATTTTTTTAAAATATATTTTATTGATTTCTTACAGAGAAGAAGGGAGAGGGATAGAGAGTTAGAAACATCAATGAGAGAGAAACATTGATCAGCTGCCTCCTGCACACCCCCCACTGGGGATGTGCCCGCAACCAAGGAACATGCCCTTGACCAGAATCGAACCTGGGACCCTTGATTCCGCAGGCCGACGCTCTATTCACTGAGGGCACATCCCCACTATTAAAGATTCCTTTTGCTGATTTGATACCCATATGGTCCCTCATTGTTTGGTTCACAGTTTTTAAAATTTATCTTTTCATTTTATTTTTAATATATTTTTATTAAATATATTTCAGAGATGAAGAGAGAGGGAGAGAGAGATAGAAATATCACTGATGAGAGAGAATCACTGATGAGAGAGAATCACTGATCGGCTGCCTCCTGCACACCTGCTACTGGGGACTGAGCCCACAACCCGGGCATGTCCCTGACCAGAATCAAATTGTGAACTCCTGGTTCATAGGTTGATGCTCAACCACTGAGCCATACCAGCAGAGCTCACTATTTTTTTTTAAATTTATCTTTATTGTTGAAAGTATTACAGATGTTCCCCCTCCCAGTTTTTTACATTTTAAAAATTACTAGCAGGGACAAATATTTTCCCATTTTATTTACTAGTGATCTCTTCTTTCACCTGTCCATGTCTTTTGTCCATTTATTAACTGAAGTTTAAAATTTTTATACAGTGTCACAAAAAACTGTATGCACATCCTATATAATAAAAGTCTAATATGCTATGTGTCTGGTAGTCCAGTTGGCCGTTCAACCAATCAAAGCGTAATATGCTGATGATATGCCAAGGCCTCTCAACCGCTTGCTATGATGTGCACTGACCACCAGGGGGCAGACGCTCCAACCAGTAGGTTAGCTTGCTGCTAGGGTCTGGCCAATCGGGACTGAGCAAGACAGGCAGAACATGCTCTGGAGCCCTCTCACGGTCCCTCCCCAGCTGGCCAACCTCCCATGTCCCTCCCCAGCCCTGATTGTGCACCCTTGGCCTGGCCTGTACCCTCTCGCAACCTGGGACTTCCTGAGGGATGTCAGAGAGGCGGTTTAGACCCAATCCCACAGGCCAGGCCCAGGGACGCCACTGATGCACAAGTTCGTGCACCGGGCCTCTAGTTCTTTGAATAATTATAAAAACCGTGTTTATTAAAATAAAATTCATTTTAAAAAACTGAGCTATCAGCTTTTAAAATGTGTATACATTTTTTGGGGGACACCCTGTATTTCATTTGTCCATTTTAGGGTTTTTAAGATACTAATCTTTTGCCATATTTCTACAAAATTATTTTTCTTCTTTGCCCTTTTGAAATGTAGAAGTTAAATATTTTTTACAAAATCAGGTTTTTCTTTCCTTTAATGTAATTTCTTCTAACATCTCAATTTTAAAAACTCTTCCCCAGCCAGGTCAGCCATTTCACTAATTTTTTAAATAATAGGTTGACTGACTTTAAAAAACATTTAACTATTTTTAATTAAACTGGATTCTGTTTTGATAAATGCTATGAAGCAATGATCTAAATTAAGTTTTCTTCTCAAAAGCTTATCAACTGTGCCAGTACCACTTTTGAAATTATCTTTTTTTTCCTTACTGATTTGATATTATTAAGAAAATAAAGTGAATATAATTCATAACATGCAATTTACTGGCAAAAACTTCCCAAGGATACACAGCTCCATGGATAAGCTTTAACACATAAAATATATTTTATAGAAAAGCTTTTTTATAAAACACATTAATTACTTGTACCTACTTAAATGAGTTATTTGTTTTGTTGAAAACACAAAAATGTGGTCACTTGAATTTTAAAAGAATTTTTCTCGTCAAGGGTGGGGAAAAAAAAGGAGACATATGTAATACTCTTTGTAATACTTTAAGCAATAAAAAAAAAAGAAAAAAAAAGAATTTTTCTCTATCAATTTGGAACATTTTATGCTATGGGAGAAAGAAGATCTATGGAGCACAAATGACCAATAACAAATTAAAATAGCATATTAGGTGCTTTTTTACCTTGTCAAAGTCGTCATATACATATGTTTTATGTTCATAATGAAGTAGGCCAGGTAAATACATTTGCAGATGCAGAAAGTGAAGCATAAAACTTTTAAATGAGTATGATTTTAAATTTTAAATGACTACTAAGTGGCAAAATTATAATCAATATTCAGATCTTTTAACTTCTAGTCATGAGTTTCATAAAAATACAAACAAAACAATATTGAAACCAATAAGGGTTAAATAGAAACTGCCTTCTCCCCTGTATTCTCGTCCCCCACCCAATCTTTTACTGGGTCCCATCACTTCTTTCAGCCTATAAATATACTGGTTTATTTCCCCCTGAAAACACTACCCTCTAGACCAGTGGTTCTCAACATCCTAATGCCGCGGCCCTTTAACACAGTTCCTCATGTTGTGGTGACCCCCAACCATTAAATTATTTTCGTTGCTACTTTATAACTGTAATTTTGCTACTGTTATGAATCGTCATGTAAATATCTGATATGCAGGATGTATTTTCATTGTTACAAATTGAACGTAATTAAAGCATAGTGATTAATCACAAAAACAATATGTAATTATACATGTGTTTTCCGATGGTGTTAGGTCACTGACCCCTGTGAAAGGGTCGTTTAACCTCCAAAGAGGTCGCAACCCACAGATTGAGAACCGCTGCTTTAGAGCATTATGGGCACCTAGTTTTTCTTCCTCCATACTCACTATTTTCCAGGATTAATTATAAACTCATGGCACTTACATTCTGTTTCATGCTTGTAGGCTCCTAATGTTAGCTGACGAGATGTTGTTAATAATTGTTGCATCATTGCTGTTGGGTCTTGAAATATCTAATGAGATAAAATGAGAAAAGGCCTAATAGCTTCAAAGTTCTACAATTTAAAATGCTTTTAAAACTCTCGTTATAAAATCTTACCATTTCATCATAGAACTCTGAAACCACTGTCTTTTTCCCCAGCATTGCATTGGTATCTGATTGGAACAGCTTTAATAAATGATACAGGGTTACCTGTGAAATAAAAACAGACATCACATCTGTGCAATGGTTACCTTCATCATTGTGAAATGCTGTCATTTCTGTAACTGAATTAGAGACTGGAATTAGTAAACATACCAAATTCAGGATCTTGTCTCAATTTACTGTGGCAAATCATTCAAAACTCTCTGTACTTTTACTTTCCTATTAGGTATTACCATCATCCACATCTAAACATGAACATTCTGAAGATGGTAAGTAAAGATCTGTTACAAAGCATTTCTAGAGAGTGACTGTATACAAAAATAACATAAGATACAGCTCTGGAAATTAAACTGGAAAATCACTAACACAAGTGAAATTAGATTATGACAGCTGTTCTGTGAAGATTAAAGTTTACAAATTTGCTATGGGGAAAAAAATTTTGATACTTTCAAAAGGAATGACTAATACTAAAATGCTTATGAGGGTAAGATAATTTCTTTGGCGACCTATAAGATTATTACGTAAGGAGGAGAACCAAGATGGCGGCATAGGGAGTGGACCTGTGCGTGCTGCCCTCTCACAACATCATTGAAACTACCAACTATAAGACAAACAACCACCATTCAGAACCATGGGGAAGTTGGCCCAGTGGGAGATCTACAAATGGAAGAAAAGAAAGAAGCGCAGTGAGACTGAGTAGGAGCTACAGAGGCGCCAAAAACACAGTCACACAGTCACACGCCAGGCCTGGATGCGCGGTTTTTTTTCAATCGGACGTGGTTACGAACCCTCCAATCCTCTGGGCTTGCTCGGGGCGGGTCTCTGAGGCCCCAGATCCCATGGGGAGAGGCGGCACGGCCTTGCAGTGGTCGGAAAGCGAGGGAAGGTGACACGCGCGGCTGCTCGCCGGCACTGGGGGATGCGAAGTCCTGGTGGTGTCCAGGAGAGGCGAGGGGCCGCAGAGACTCCGCCCCGGCGACTCCCTGAGACCCTGCCCTATTCAATTTACATTCCCATCCAGGCTGTGCCAGAGGCACAAGAGGAAACGCCTGCGCTTTTACAAACTCTCAAATCCACTGAGCTGGTTAAGGCAGGATCATGAGGCACCAGACCCTACGGGGAGAGGTGGCATGGCCTCGCAGCCATCAGAAAGCGAGGGAGGCTCTGTCGCACAGCTGCTTGCCAGCACTGGGGGACGTGAAGCCCCGGTGTCCCGGAGAGGTGAGGGGCCGCGGAGACGCTGCCAGTGCTATTTGCTCCGCCCTTGGCAACTCCCTGAGACCCAGCCCTAATCAATTTACATCCCCATCCAAGCTGTGCCAGGTGCACAAAAAGACCTACCTGCGCTTTTGCAGCCTAACCCAACAAATTGCAGACTTCAACTGCTCGCACCCATGGGAGACACACTCAAGAAGCAGACCCAGGAGAACCAAGATGGCAACGTAAGGAAGTGTCCTGTGCGTGCTGCCTCCCACAACAACATCGAAACTACCAACTATAGGACAAACAGCTATCATACGGAACCATGGGAAAGCTGGCCCAGTGGAGGCTCTACAACTAGAAGGGAGGCAAGAAGAACACTGAGACTGAGTAGGATGTGCAGAGGCACCAAGTAGAGCCCAACCCAGCTGGCTGCAGATTTCAGCTCCTCGCATCCAGAGAGATGCACTCGGGGGGCGGAGTCAGGTTTGGGGCAGGCCAGGGTGGGAGCCGGGCCAGCGATGTGGAACCGCTGTACCAGCAGGCGCACAAGCACGCCCACTGGTTGCAGTCTCGCGTGGGACACTGGGGGATGGCAGACAGGCAGTCTGTGCACTTGGTGGAGGGCGTAGTCCAAGCAAGCGTGCTGGATGTTCAGCCACCAGAACGCCTGGAGATTTTGTCTGGTGGGGAGCCGCCTGGCAGGGGACAGAGGGCCAAACTTAGTCTTTCCCCAGTGAGGCTGGGACGGCCCTGGTGATGTCGGGACGGCCCCGGTGAGGTTGACATAGCCCCGGTGAGGCCGAGACGGCCCCAGAGAGGTTGGGACTGCTCCAGTGAGGTTGGGACAGATAATGGGGACCAGTATAGAATGATGAACAGGGGTAGATGCAGAGGCAGAGCAACATTGAACAGATTGTCAAACTACAGTGGGAAGCCTGGAAAGGGTTTGGGTGGGGGGATTAAGAGATCAACCGAAGGACTTATATGGATGCATATAAGAATAACCAATGGACACAAGACACTGGGGGGAAGGGGCTTGGGGAATGTCAAGGGGGGGGGGAAGGAGGCATATGTAATACTCTTTGTAATACTTCAAGAAATAAACATTATTAAAAAAAAGATTACGTAAGTAACAAAGTCAGTGGCAATTCACTTTGGCATGAACATGTCTTCAAAATAAAAAAAAAACAAGTGTAGTAAGACATCAAAGGAAAAGTTTTGTAGAACAATGTGTGATTACTTTAGCAAAATAAAACCCAGCTGGCAAAATATCAGAGTTCATGTTGAAGTTGGAGAAACCAATTCAGAGGCCTCGGAGAATTTTCCAAAACTTAGCAAAAATCATTATAAGTAACCATGCATCAATCACAAGCCATATTCCAAGCAGATAATTTGAGAAATGTATGGAATAAACAAGGGCATGTGACTACATGGATGGATATTCCATAACAGGGAAATCACAACCTGGAAACGTAGGGAAGAGAACTGTACACAGATGGGAGCCGGCACTCCCAGAGGAGCCCCGGAGAGGTTCAGAGCTCAGAGTTGGCAGGTGGAGAAATCAAGAATGTTGGGGGCAGCTGGGCCTGTTAGCTTTCTACTATCTCCCTCCACGCATAGACAAGAGAACATGCATATCTTCCTGTGGAACCTAGAATTTTTCACCCAAACAGTATGAAGTAAAAATAAAGAATTTTCAGATAGCAATGGCTCTGAAAGTTTATTTCTCAGGCATCCTTTCTGAAGAAATTCCTCCAGCAAAATGAAAAACAGAAACCTGGAAAGATGAAAAAGATCATCTGTCCTCATTAGTAGTTGACAGGCACTATCTAAAAGAAAAATTCAAACTATATGAGATGCATGGGAGTGATTTCTAGAGAAACAGAAAAGAGTAACTATGGTTTTCCTGGGCAAGGGGCCAGATATGGGAGAAAACAAGATGTTATGGGTTGAACTGTGTCCCCCAAAACGATATGATGAAGTCCTAATCCTTAGGCCCTGTGAAAGTGACCTTATCTGGAAAAAAGGTTTTTGCAGATGTAATCAAATTAAGATAAAGTCAGTAGGGTGTGCCCAAATCCAATATGACTAGTGTCCTCATAAGAAGAAACACAGAGAAAGGCCATGTGACAATGAAGACAGAGATGAAGTTATGCTGCCACAAGCTAAGGATCCTGGGGCTACCAGAAACTGGAAGTGACAAGAAAGAATCCTCCCTTAAAGGCTCTGGAGAGAGCAGGGCCAACACCTGGATTTTGAACTTCTAGCTTCCAGAGCTGTGAGAATAAATTTCTGTTGTTTAGCCACTCAGTTTGTGGTACTATGTTATGGCAGCCCTAGGAAACTAATACAAAAGACTTGTACTTTTTGTTTTTAAAAACTTAAAAAAAATCTGCATGTTTGACTTTTATAATTCAAAAAATATATAAAACTGTCCTCCCCTCAATTTATCATTTAGACTACCAGAGGCATTCATGAAAATATATAGGCAATGAAAATTTTCAAGACAGATGTCTCCAATTTTGAGCTGTGTTTGGTGATTCTTAGAGCAATGAAAACACCTGTACTTACTACAGATGTATTTCTAGGCATAGAAATTTTAGCTTTTGTTTTGTTAATCTTTACCCAAGGATATTTTCTCCACTGGTTTTTAGAGAGAGAGTGGGATGGTGGAAGAGAGGAGGAGGGAAGCAAAGAGAGAGAGAAACATTGATGTGAAAGAGACACATCAACTGGTTGCCTCCTACACCTGCCATGACCAGGGTTGGGGATCAAACCTGCAACCCAGATACATGTCCTTGACCAGGAATCGACCCCTCAACCCTTTGGAGCACAGGCTGATGCTCTACCACTGAGCCACACCGGCCAGGGCAACAATTTTAGCATTTGCTTTTAGAAACACCATTCCTTTTACAATGGCTTGGCCTATAATAGGTTAATGGATAACAGAAGTAAGTCACAAGTTACCAGCATCTTTTATATTTTAAATAAGCTCTCATATGACATTTTCTGTAAGAACCAACTATTGAAAAAGTATAATGGTTTCATTATACTAAAAGAATATTACAATAGTTTTTGGGGACTAAAATTCAGGCATAGCCCTGGCTGGGTGGCTGGGTGGGCACCAAAAGGTTGCCGGTTTAATTCTTGGTCAGCACACAGGCCCAGGTTTTGGGCTCCATCCCTAGTAGGGGACATGTGGGAGGCAGCCAATCAATGTTTCTCTTTCTCTCTCTCCCTTCCTCTCTCTTTAAAAAGTAATATATATATATTTAAATTCAGGCCTATGTAGATCTATATAGAAACCTATTTAATAAATCAATCACTGCAGAAGTGCAAAAGAACATAGTACTTTACTTTTCCAAGAGTGGACTTTAAAATTACATGATATAAAGATTTCTTTCAGAGATGTATTTTCCAATTGGGATAGGAGGGGACAACAGATGAAGAGATAGGTAAGGGCACACATTCTCAAAATTAAAATGAATTCAAAGCAATCTTACAAAGTTAAAAAGAGCTTCTGCTCTAGTAACATTACTGACTTCTTATCTCTCTCAATATCTGCTAAATTTTGTGCTCTAGTCTCTTTAACAGACTATTTATTTATTTGTTTAATTCTCACCTGAGGATATTTTCCCACTGATTTTTAGAGAAAGTGAAAGGGAGAGGGAGAGACAGAGAGAAAAACATCAATGTGAGAGAGACACATCAATTGGTTGTCTACCACATGCTCCCCAATTAGGGCCAAGGACTGAACCTGCAACTGAGGTATATGTCCTTGACCAGAATCGAACCCGAGACCCTTCAGTCCACAGGCTGACACTCTATCCACTGAACCAAACTGGCCAGGGCTTAAAAGACTATTTTGATTAAGAACAAAAGCAGTGCTTCATCCTTGTATCAAGATATTTGAATAATATTTTGCAAATAATGAATATTTAATCATTTCTTGCCATACAAAATTGTTGTGAGAGTACTCTAGAAAGAAAACAAAAATGGTAGACCTGGAAACCATATCACATGAAAAATATTTAAACGAGCCAGAGATGTTTATACAGGAAAAAAGAAAACTAATGTACGAATAATTATCAATAAAAAGTTCAAGGAAGCTTATAATAAAGTAGAGCTTTCTTTCTTTTCTTTTTAAAATATATTTTATTGATTTTTTACAGAGAGGAAGGGAGAGGAATAGTTAGAAATATCAATGAGAGAGAAACATTGATCAGCTGCCTCCTGCACATCTCCCACTGGGGATATGCCCGCAACCAAGGTACATGCCCTTGACTGGAATCAAACCTGGGACCCTTCAGTTGCAGGCAAACGCTCTATCCACTGAGCCAAATGGGTCAGGGCAAAGTAGAGCTTTCTTAAAACTAGAACCACCCCACACCATGCCCAGCAGGTATGGCTCAGTGGTTGAGCATTGACCTATGAACCAGGAGATCATGGTTTGATTCCCAGTCAGGGTACATGCCTGGGTTGCAGGCTCCATTCCCAGTGGAGGTGAAGGTCAAGGGCATATGCCCAGTTGTGGGCTTGATCCCCAGTGGGGGGTGTGCCGGAGGCAGCCTATTCATGATTCTCTCTCCCTCTCCCTTACTATCTGAAATCAATAAAAATATATTAAAAAAAAAAAAACCAACAAAAATCCTAGAACTACCCCAAACCTGAACGGGATGTTTCACTTAATGACAGAAGTCAATATTCTCCATACTGAAGTTAGCAAAACCCAAAGGAGATTCTTATTTCAGAGACAGCATGAAGAAATTCCTACCTAGGAAGAGTATGGCCTCTGTCAATGGGTTCTAAATCTTACCTTGTATCGAAATCACCTGGGGTGCTGGCCCCTCTCCAAACCTACTGAATCAGACTCTCTAGGGCAGCGGTTCTCAACCTGTGGGTCGCCAACCTGTGGGTCGCGACCCCTTTGGGGGTCGAACGACCCTTTCACAGGGGTCGCCTAAGACCATGGGAAAACACATATATAATTACATATTGCTTTTGTGATTAATCACTATGCTTTAATTATGTTCAACTTGTAACAATGAAAATACATCCTGCATATCAGATATTTACATTACGACTCATAACAGTAGCAAAATTACAGTTATGAAATAGCAATGAAAATAATTTTATGGTTGGGGTCACCACAACATGAGGAACTGTATTAAAGGGTTGCGGCATTAGGAAGGTGAGAACCACTGCTCTAGGGGATTGGGCCTATTAGTTTGAACTTATAAAAAACACTTCGAGTACTTCTAATACAGTTAGTTAAGAACCAATCCTCTGAGCCCTGGCCAGGGTGATACTCAACTTCTTTAAACCCACATATAGTTTTAAAACTTTAATCTGATGATGAAAGTCTAAATGTTTGGTGCCAAAGGAATGAGCTTAAATCTATCAAGATGAAAATTAGTGGTGAGAACTATTAAAGCAAGCCCTGAAACAAATTAAACACCAGCCACACAAATGTGAAATGAGAGAGCCATAACTGAGTTGTGGCCTTCTAGGTTTAAAAATAAAACAGGCTTATGCCAAGGTTGTGGGTTCTATCCTCAGTCAAGACACATACAAGAATCAACCAATGAATGCATAAATAAGTGGAACAACGAATCCATGTTTCTGTCTCCCTCCCTCCCTCTCTATAAAAGCAATCAACCAATCAATAAACTGAGGCTTAGTGGTTTGTCAAAAGAAAGAGTAACGGAAAGTGTGTGGGGTCTAAATCTACTACTTGGGTTCAAAACGAGCTTTGCCACAACTAACTGTATTTTTGAGTCTGTGACTTGACCTCTGAGCCTTAGTATTCTCCTATCTAAAATGAAGATATCACCAACTTCACAAAGTTGCTGAGGGATCACAGTGAAAGGTTTGAGGGACTTTTTGCATTATCAAGCAATGATCTTATAAGAAGAGACCATAAAATGAAAAAGTTGGTTGTTATCAATAAGGATTCACAAGTAAGATATAAAGTAAAGCTGCTAGTACTTTTTGCTTTGCAAAAGCAACAAGACTATATTTCTAAGGCTTTTAACTATAAAAAACTGGATACTCCCATTTCAGATAGCATATGGACTCAACTTGTTTATTACTAGTAACCAAATGATATTAGTGAATTTAAAATTTTTGCTGTGGTATCCCTGGACGAGTAGCTCAGTTGGTTGGAGCATTGTTCCAATACACCAAGGTGACAGGTTTGATCCCCGGTCAGAATATATACAAGAAGTAACCAATGAATGCATAAATAAGTGGAACAATAAATTGATGTTTGTTTTTTCTCTCTCCCCATTCCTCTCTCTAAAATCAGTAAATTAAAAAGTAAAATTTTTGCTGTAGTAATCATATGATTTTCATGGTTTCTTTCTAATAAATGTTCACACTGTATTTCTTCTTTCTATATTGAAAGATAAAAGCGTTGGAAGGCACATCACTTAAAAATGAAAAATCTTAACTCATGGCAAGATACACCATGCCAGCCCTGCTTAAGTGTTGTCCCATGCACCAAAAGGTTGCAGGTTTGATTCCCTGTCATGGCACATGCCCAGGTTGCGGGCTTGATCCCCAGTAGGCAGGAGGCAGTCGATCAATATTTCTCTTTCTCTCCCTCTCCCTTCCTCTTTCTCTAAAACCAATAAAAAAAATACACCATACCATAAGAGAACATAAAGTAAGTCTGAATAAAAATGTTAACACATAATATGCTCTTCATTAAGTATTGTTACATTTTCACAATTACTAAAAAAATCTGCTTTAAATTTACAAAGATTACCATTACTCACAGGTCTCTCATTAGGATCAATAAAAAATATTTTGATGATTATTTCGAATTCACCCCATCCTGTTTCAGTAATTTCATATGGAGGCTTAGTAACAACTGAAGAAGAGAAAAAAAAAATAAAACAATTATAATTGTAAATTACTGATGTAGTTTCCTAGCTCTTTTTAAATTTGTATATTATAAATGAAAAAACTATACTCTACCTCTTAAAGGATTGCCATAGCTTTCATGTAACTTAAATTGAATTTTCTTCACATATGCTGACATATCCTGAAATACAGAGGAATTAATTAGTTCTGCCATCTACATATAAAAACTAGGAGAGAAATACACTAAGCATATGTACCTAATTTTATAAAACACATTTCCCCTCAAATATTATAGAATCTAATTTTCTTTTTTTTAAAATATATTTTATTGATTTTGTACATGCCCTTGACCGGAATCGAACCTGGGACCCTTCAGTCCGCAGGCCAACGCTCTATCCACTGAGCCAAACCGGTTAGGGCAGAATCTAATTTTCTAAAAAAAAACCCACCATGAATTATACCTAGGAGATTTGGGGTTTTTTTTTTATTTTAAACAAGAAAACCGGTGAATTCTCTCATAATTCATAATATATAGGAATATACATATCAATTCACTTATTTTGCAAATAGTTTTTTATATTTATCTATAGACAATACTCTAAATCAAAATTTTTCCATAAAAACAATAGTACATTTCCAATATTTTTATAATAACCATATTATCCAAGCAAATTTAAAAACTAAGCAATGTCAAAGAAGAAAATTATATCATATAAAGCTAAGCAGCTAAAACTGTTGGATATAAAACTGCTCCTTTTCTTAATTTTATTTTGAAGCACAAGAGCATATTCCTTAGTTCTGACACATGAAAGGGATTCTCCTAGCTAACGTGTCTTTTTCAAACATACCACATTATAGAAAAATGCAAAACAGAATAAGCCAAACAACAGAAATGTTTATTAATTTTTTTTCTTTCAGGAATTTTTGTGTGTGCTTATTACCTTGCATCCAATATGTTTAAATTGGAATCATACTATAATGATATATTAATATCTGCTTTCATTACTTAATATAATATTGTGAACATTTTCCCCCCTTTTTTTGAATTTATTGGAGTAACACTGGTTAACAAAATTATACAGGTTTTAGGTGTATAATTCTACAGAACATCATCTGTATGAACATTTTTTTCTGAGGTAGACTTTCCTAAGTATCTTTGAAGTCTGTTTTGGAAATAGTTTCGTTCATTTTTATTCTACAAGTATGAGTGACTACTAACTTTGGGTACCAGATGCCAAAATGGTATTAGGGTCTTGCCCTCAGTATCTGTCCATGGAGTAGGCGGCAGACAAGAAAATCAGTATTTCAGTGTAATCTGTGTCATTGAGGGCACGAGGTATAAGGCCATAGGAGAGGCACCTAACCTAACAGTTTTTGGAGGTCAAGAAAGTAGTTCTAAAGAAAATACACTTGAACTAAGACTAAGGAAATAGTAAAAATAGAGAGAGAGGGAGGGAGGGAGGGAGGGAGGGAGGGAGGAAGGAAGGAAGGAAGGAAGGAAGGAAGGAAGGAAGGGGTTTAAGAGTGCTCCTTTGAGAAACTAGAAGTAATTTAGTATTGGGAGAATGTAGGGTATAAGGAAATGAAGAAGCAAATACAGACAAGGTATAATGCTGCCGAGATAGGATAATGAAAGACCATAGCATGCCTCTAAAATAAGATAGTTTTACCTTTATGAGGCTAATAGGTAGTCATTGAAGGTGGTTTTTTTTTTTTTAATAACAGCTTTATTGAGATATTCACACACCAAATAATTCACCCACTTAAAACGTAGCATTCAGTGGCTTTTTAGTATATTCAGAGTTGTACAACCATCACTATATTCAATTTTAGAATATTGTTATCATATAAAAAGAAACCCCATACCATTAGCACTCATTCTTAAGTACCTCTTCCTCCCATCACTGGCAACCACTAATCTATTTTCTGTGTCAGGATTTGCCTATTCTTGACATTTTATAAAAATGATATCATAGCATATGTGGCCTTTGTGTCTGGCCTCTTTCTCTTACCATACTATTTCTCAGTTTCTCCATGTGGTGGCAGCATGTACCAATACCTTTTTTTACTGCCTAATGACATTCCATTGCATGGATATACCATATTTTATTTATTCAAGACACTTGAGTTGTTTCCATTGTTTCGTGTGGATTTTGAAGGGTTTAAATAGAGGAATAGTTTATTCACTTAATAAGTATCTGTTGAATACCTACTATGGACTGGCTGCATTCCAGGCATTAGAGATTCAACAACAAAACAAAATTACCAGCAGCCAGATTATATAGCAGTTTTGTCTTTTATCTTCTCTGATGATAACCAACCAAATTATCACTTAAAAATTAACTACTATTCTTGAAACATCTGATTAAATACTAAGCTAACTTAAGACATGGTGATTGGAAGATGTGCTGTGTTTATAGCACAGTCCTTGTTAGTGTAATTTAATTTTAATTAGAAAACATTTTTGGAAAATTTCTACTGAACAATCATATGAAAATGACAGCTCTCACTTTATTCTTTCAACTTTTGGGGTGGGTAACTTTTCTAAAAAGGACCAATTTTATAATCAGAGAGCCACTATAATATTAAAATTTATTTTCAAGCAAAACAAACTATAGGAAAAAACAGTACCTACCTCATTTCTATATGGTTTTACATATACTGTCCATTGATGGGTATGCCCATCCTCTTCTCTTTTCTTTCCAAAATATCGAGCAACATTGCCATAAACTATTGGTTTAACGATAGTAACCCCCTAAAAGGAAAATTTTAAACACAAATTAATATTGTATCATTACCCAAATAAACAGAAGAGTTCTGAAAGTTTGTTTTAAGAAATGGCAGGCATGTAAGAGACTCATTTCAGATGAAAAGCTACAGACTAAAAGTAAAGGGATGGAAAAAGACACTTCGAGAAAATGGAAACAAAAAAAGCTGGGGTTGCAATACTTATACCAAACAAAATAGACTTTATTTTAATTAAATCTTTACTGTTGAAAGTACTACATATGTCCCCTTTTTCCTCCATTGTCCCCTTCTAGCCCACCTCCCTACTGTCTGTGTCCATGGGTTATGCATATATGCATACAAGTTCTTTGGTTGATCTCTTCCCACCCACCCACCTACCTTTAAAACAAAGGCTATAACAAGAGACAAAGAAGGATTCAGCAATTCCATTTTGGGGTATTTATTTGAAGAAATCCAAAACACTAATTCAAAAAGACATACAGTGGGGCCTTGACTTACGAGTGTCCCGACTAACGAGTTTTTCGAGATACCAGCTGTCTCTCGGCCAATTTTTTGCTTTGAGTTGACAGAGTAATTTGAGTTAACGAGCTCCTTAAAGAGCTCCATAACGAGCTCGGTCTCGGAAAGAATTAAACTCGTAAGTCAAGGCCCCACTGTATGTTCATTGCAGCACTATTTAAAATAGCCATGATATGGAAGCAACCTAAGTGTCATCAATAGATGAATGGATAAAGAAGTGGTAGATATATACAATGGAAAATTATATACAACGGAATATTACTCAGCCATAAAAAAGAATGAAATCTTACCATTTGCAACAACATGGATGGACCCTAGAGGGTATTATGCTAAGTGAAATCCATCAGACAGAGACAGACAAGTACCATATAATTTCACCTTTATGTGCAATAAAGGAACAAACAAAACAGAAACAAACTCACAGATACAGAGAATATTTTGATGGTTGCCAGGTTGGACGGGGATGACAAGGGTGTGAAAAAGGTGAAGGAATTAGTACAAATGGGTAGTTACGAAATAGTCACAGGGATGTAAAGTACTGCATAGGGAATATAGTAAACAGTACTGTACTATGTATGGTGACAGATGGTTACTAGATATATAAGGGTGATCACTTCATAAGTTATATAAATGTCTAATCACTATGCTGTACACCTGAAACTAATATAATATTGTGTCAACTGTAATTGAAAAAAAAGCCAAAAACTAGAGTTTGCTTATAACATCATTTCTCTCAGTAAATCAATTTTAGACAATTATCCTCATTTCATATTAATACAAATAACTAAATACCAGATTAATTACAATGTCCCCACTTTGAAAATGTCTATTTTAGCCCTGCACATGAGGCTCAGTGGTTGAACATCGACTTATGTAGCAGAAGGTCAGGGTTCGATTCCTGGTCAGGGCACAGGCCTAGCTTTCGGGCTCAATTTCCAGTGTGGGGAGTGCAGAAGGCAGCCAATCAATTATTCTCACATCATTGATGTGCCTGTCTCTCCCCCTCTCCTTTCTCTCTGAAATCAATAAAAATATGTTTATGTTAAGTACTTTGAGAGCTTTTCTGAAAAGAAACACAAAAGGATCTTTATTCACAAACTTTAAAGTGAGGCTCTGGAATAAAGATCGCCAACTTCAACTGCAATCAGCTGATGATAATGTCCTATTTATCAGCGTATGGCAGTGTTTTCCAAAGCACAGTACAAATACTAAAGACAACTTGGATGAAGATTTTAGGTAAAATAAGAGCAAACATAATAAATCCATTTTATTATTTATGGCTTCACTTTTTCCACTATTTGAAAAACCGTAACTATAACTAGCAATTCAAACCCATAATTTCAAAAATATTAATGCTGCGGAATGGGCTTTTAAAAATTAATCTAAATAAAAATGTTAAATATTACAGCTGGATTTGGATAATGATAAAGTGTCACTTGGATGACTGATGCTCGTTTACTGCCAATGGCCATGCTTCCTACATTTGGGCTCATTTCTGAGATGTACGTATATGTTTCTCATCACATCTGGTGAGTGTAAAGGCAGTGAGTGTTGACAGATTATGACGGAGGAGAGAAAAAATTTCAAGTGAAGACAAAATGCTGAATGTTACACATGAATTTCAGATCAACTGTTCAATAGTAAGAATGTATCTGAAGGTCAAAGAGCAAGATATACACATGTGATAAGTGCTGTGCCAATGTAACCAATAAGAAATGAGGGAAAGCAGTGAACAAATGGAAAAACTATTAATTGTGGCTGAATAAGTAACATAAATTCAATACCTATTAGCCTAAGTTAGTCCAGAAGAAGGCAAGCTGTTTGTATAAGAATGTAAATAATCACGGTAAGTGCTACTGAGACTTTTGTGGCAACCACTGAACGGGCCTCAGGTTCAAGGCCTGAATGAGTGAGTATAAGAAGAGCTGACTTGGTGAGTGGCTAATAGATCCCATGGCTGCTATGGTGTTGGTAGGAACTTGCAAAGTTCCTCCCCCCCCACCATATTTTTTTGGGTCAGATCAGCAAAATATATATTTTTGGTGCACCACAGAATTTTAGTAATGAGTTTATGTGTGCTATGAGACGAAAAAGGTTGAAAATCACTGGTTTTAAGCTTTACATGACTAACTCACGCCTATGTTTGCAGAAAAGCATTTGAGGCTACAGGCCTAATCTCAAGTCCCTTGGGACTTAAACTTACAAACTTTCAGAACCTAACATGATTGATTACAAGTATTGAAAGTTCTGTTAGTTCTTCTCCAAAATCTATTTTAACCCTTTGTTTGCTAATACTTTCCTATCAGTCCAAAACCTTGCCCCAAAAGTCTGGGCAAAATGTGTATGTTTATCAATTTACCCGGCATCTCTTTCTGCTTACATTAAATTTCAGTAGCTTTTGAAATTTCAGAACTCTCACTTTACATATGATATTAAAGCACTATGTTGTGGTAGTTGTAAACACAGTATAGAGTTAAAAGTATGTGAAAACAACATGACAGATAAGAACTCTTTTAAAACCTTTACTAGCTAGATTGTTGCAAAAGTGGGTAATTTCTTTTTAAAGAAAAACTTCCAGCCCTAACCGGTTCGGCTCAGTGCATAGAGCGCCGGCCTGCGACTGAAGGGTCACGGGGTTCGATTCCGGCCAAGGGCATGTACGTTGGATTCGGGCACATCCCCAGGCGGGGGTGTGCAAGAGGCAGCTGATCCATGTTTCTAACTCTCTATCCCTGTCCCTTCCTCTCTGTAAAAAATCAATAAAATATATTTTTGAAAAAAGAAAAAACTTCCTTTTTGGGCTAAATAAACATCCTAAGGGGTAGAAACAGGTGTTATATTGGGAACCAGTTGGTCCTGCCTTAAACATTGTATGCGGGAAACGTATTTATACGTTTTACGTAGACTGTAAGTAGTAGAGCCACCTGTTGGCGCGCGATAAAAACTACCCGCAATGTGTTAAAAATGAATGTGCGCCTTAGGGTAAGTAAGAAAGTGGGAGGGAAACGTGTCACTGTGTCAAACATTATGCTAGGCTCTATGATAACTTGAATTAAACACTGAAGCAGCTGGTGTCCATGTCCCTATGTGCCAGGCAATGCGCTTTGCATGCCCTGGTTAATGTTCGGCCGCAGCTGTGGCCACACCATGAACCTGGGCAAGTTGTCTGCCCTTTCCACCTCCCAGCTCTGACTTATGGCAAACGCTCTGGGTAACGCGGCCTCTGTCAGGTTCCGCGGGGACCACAGCGGAGAACCGGGTAAAGCTTTTGGCCACGGTGCTGGGCAGGCGGAGGGCTCACCCAGTATCTGCTGCTGTTTCCACCCTCCCCAGCGGGTGGGCCGCACCCCCACGACCGGGACCCCAGCGGACCGACCGAGGGGGGGCTTTCCCAGGCCTTGGAGAGGCTGGTTTCCTGGGCAACCGTGTCCGGCGTTCTGCCTCCCGCGATCCCCCTTCCCCAACCCCAGCCAGCACGAAGTCTGTGTTGTTGGCGGGGACGGAAGGAGGTGGTGACGCCGTGAGGTGGGGCCCGGGAAACACAGATGCTCCTCCCTCCGGGATCCGACTCGCTCCCGCCTGGAAACCTCGTGGGGCACCGCGGCCCTCCCCACGCCGCGCAGGGAGGACCGGCGGGCGGGCACTGACCTTCACTCTCCCGCCGGAGTC